CTCTAGATAGAGTGGCAACAAGACACAAGGTTTGGATTTTTAAAGAGTTTTATTTCAAGAGAAAAAAAACTTCAATAAACAGGCTAGAAGAAACGAATATGGGAGGGGTTTCTTTTTATTATTTTTATTATTTTAGTCTTTTATCTCAAAAGGTCAAGAGGAATGGAGCTTCAGTGTAATCACTGGTCTTCTGGATAAGGCAACAGAGGGGCACTGGTACTATCAGGACAAAAATATATAGGCTGATAGCCAAGGATTTTGACATGGAAACCTATGTGGTTTTTCAATAAACACCACCAAAAGATATATAAATAGAAAGGGAGGAAAACAGATGAGTAGTTAGGGTTGATTAAGATATCAAACCTTGGAGAAGAGAACCAAAGAAATGACTGAGATGACTAGAGGGGAAGAAGACTGACTGGTAAGTGAAAATGTCAGTTTTGAGTGGGAAAGTGACTTAGCAGTAAGGGTCCTTTGGGTCCTGTCACTGAAAAAAAAACTTGCTCAACTGCCTGCAGTTGACATGCAGCATGCTCCACCCAAGCTGATATCCAAACTCCCCATTTTTGCATATTTAGATCATTTGGCCCAGTCACTGTGCAGTCTGCACAATGGCTGTGGATCAAAGCTTGGTTGAATCACTTTTGGATAATGGTTGGAGTAACAACAGAAGCTTCCTGGGAGTTTCTGCATGTCAACTGCAGGCATTTGAGCAAGTTTTTTTTTGCAGTGTGTGGTGATCTGGGTGGTTCTGGTTGGTTCTTTCCTGAGGAATGAAGATTTCCACTGAGTTCTATTTCAGAGGTGAGAGGATCTCCAACCAAATATTTATCCAATTTGAACTCTGAACTACAAAATGGTTCTATTTTCAAGCTTGAATATACCAGTATCACAACACAACTAATACACACCTCATGTATTGTACATTGATAGGAAGATCAGGATAATCTCATTGAATATTTTAATTCTACTTATTAAAAATAATTGCACTGTTAACAACTCTTTTCAGACAAAAATGAAAATGAAATTGATTGGCTAATTTAGAATTGAAGCCTTTTGGACAGGCTTGCTGTCTCTAAGGCTGAAAAAAGGATAAAGGTGGCAAGATATCCAGAGACCCCAAGAGCAGTAAGGATGGGTGGAAAATTGAGCCTGGAATTGGCCAAGCAGAAGACTCCATTGGAGGTCAAAATGTGGCCAATCATGGGATGTTATTCAGATGGCACTTATTCAGACTAATCATAACACAGGATTCAGGTGGAATATTAGTTCATCTGTAGCAAAACTCCCTCAGGGAGATCCCCTGAATCAAAAATACTTCACTCTTGAATATATAAGGAGATCTTCTCCCCTCAACAAACTTGACTTTTTTCACTCAAAAAGAAAGGAAGAATGGCTGAGAATTGTCAGAGACAGAAGACAAGTATAGTAGTCTATCAACATATCAAGTTAATCATTTATTGATTTATTTATTATTTCCATTTTGTAGTGGCTTCTTTCCAATACTAAATCATCTCTATCGGATTTGGTTGAACCCTCCTGTGAAATCGGTTTAGCATGAAAGCTGCGGAGATTGGTACTTGGTTCTTGTTGGTTTTATGAATTCATCTGATATTTTCATCATGTTGGTGCCTTTTGTTGTGCATGTATTTATTCTTGGCTCAAAATCCTCATCCTGACTTTTTTTTTGGCTAGCTGTTCTCCTGTTCCAGATGGTTGTTCCATGGTTTTTTTTTCCCCCTAGCTTTAAAGACCAACACTGTTCCCAGAAATAAATAAATTTATGATATGAGTTAAGTAGTTTGATCAGCAAACACATTTTCAGTGTAAATAAAGTTATTTGAGATGGAATTAAGATGAAATTCACATGAAATCAAAGTGTGAAAAAATGCTCCAAATGTTGGTCAAATTTGTGTATGCAAGTTCCAACATGGATCCCAGTTTGAGTCATTGAATGACAAATGATGTCTAAGATACTGCCAGGTGCAGGTTTAGTGTCTGGAGTATGATGATTACAGACTGGGCTTTGGATCTTTAATTACCAGAAATTCTTTGGAGGCATTTTTTTGTCACTACCAGTGAGCCTTCCAGTCAGTATTGACCTTATCCTAGAGCATCCATGATTCAGGTAGCACTCAACCTTGTTCAAATAGGTTGAGATTAAGGGATTTAACCCAACCCAAGGAAATGTTGACTAGGGTCAGTGGAAGCAATAATAAAATTAACAAGGATGAGCTCAACCATTTTAGGTTGGCAGACAGTGGTGTTGATCTCAATCTTGATGTCAATGTGGTAGTACATCAAATTGAGACTAGAGAAGAGGATCCCAACATTTGCTGAAAGTGATATGAAAGTAAACCACATTTTGTTGTTGAGATATTGACTCAGAAATCTACTTGATCACCAGTTGCTGAAAATGGTGGGGGGAATATGGGTCCCTTTATTGGGGGGGGG